TAGCAGAAGGATCGAAGAAGTGAAGATGGAAAAAGTCAGCCTAAAATGCACATCTTCACGCAGTCATCATCTTGTGTCACCATGAAAAATGGTCATAATAAGAAAATGAAGCAAAGATGGCAAAAACCTTGATGAAGCTACTATCCTATAATGGCCCTCAAGCGACCAATGACTACCTATGGCAAGAAGTGTGCCTTGAAAACATGAGTCTGTATAGCTTAAAAGTTGTGAAGTCAAGCCTAAACTATGAATTTCCTAATTGCACAAACTACATTGATAACTAAAATGTACAAAAGAAGGGGGAAATCCCAGCCACCATAGGTGAATACAAGAGAAAAAGACACCACCAATTATCGACTACGGTAGAATGACTATAACCAGCAATCGGGGATGAGCATTACACTAATACAAGGCAGTACAAAGAGAATTATCCAAAAAGATATCAAAGGGTGGAGACTTATTACTGAAAGAGAGACGAATTTATTTCTTGACAAAGAGTCCAAAACAAATGGCTAACAAACACGAAGCTTCTCTTCGTCTTTAAAAGGAAGTACCATCGTGCTTTCTTAACCTCCCAGAATTTTCTTGCATAGGCGCAATGCAGCAAACATATATAAGCTTGGAGCAGTAAAACTCAACTCTCAAGAGATACATTAACTTTTACAAATACAATCTCACTAGCAACATGTAAGCTATATAAACTCAGATTTCTCTAAGTTCCTAACTTATCCTTTCAAATAATCTAATTGGTCATAAACTAATTCTCATTAAGATTTCCTAGAAGTGTTATTTTACATCTGGAACAAGTCTCGGTACGATTATCAGGACACCAAACAAGAGCATTCCCCAACAAGTAAAGGCACAAAAAGGGGAAAATGGTGCGCCATGAAATTCACATCAAGAATGAGACCGTGACCTTACAAATTCTTCTAGCCTATCCCACACCTCCAATGCTGCAGCTCTGTCTTGGTGTCGCTTGTTCTTGCTAATCTGCAAAAGGAAACATTATTTAAATTACTACAGGACGTTGCTGAAGAACAATAGGAAAGAATTAACTACAAGAGGCAATGCAAACAAAAATAAGCACAGAGACGGAGGGGGATTTCAAAATTTCAAAGATTGAATCAAGATTTAAAACAATGCAACAGGTTAGAGGGGGAGGATCAGGGAAGTAGAAGATTACCGAAATAATTTTAACATTCCACTGCTTCACATTCTTAGCTGATTCCAAACTGTCGTCTTCAAAACGCATAAAAAATCCAATAACTGCAAAACAGTCAACACGCTTATTAATGAATGGAAAATTTCTCTACCTAAAGAGAGTATTAAGGAACAAAATCAACTAATTTGGGATCAATTGTTCCCTTACTTTTATTGAAAATCTCAACATGATCCTTAAAAGGCCAATCTTTGAACTGCCATTCCTTTCCCAATACGAAAACAGCTACAACACGGTCCC